TGGGTATACCCTTCAATTCAGACGCAGACCCCCCCGTTTCAATGGTGTGGTGCAGTCTCTAACATTGCCTTGAAATGCCCTGGTTCTGAGATAAGAGGTATGCAGTCTGCTCGGAAAAGGAGCAATAGAGAGAGTCCCTCCGAGCGAGCTGGAGAGCGGGTTTTACAGCCGCTATTTTGTGGTACCCAAAAGAGATGTGGGACTCCGCCCGATTCTAGATCTCAGGCCCATCAACAGAGCGCTTCGCAAGCGTCCATTCAGGATGATAATGCTGAGACAGATCCTGGCGCAAATTCGGCCCGGGGACTGGTTTGCTTCCGTGGACTTTCGTACTTTCACATTCAGATAGCACCGCATCACAGACGCTTTCTGAGGTTTGCTTTCGAGGGCACAGTGTACCAATACTCTGTTCTCCCGTTCGTGCTGGCTTTGGACCCACGCACTTTCTCAAAGTGCATGGATGCAGCACTCTCCCCTCTCAGAGCGAGCGGGATGTGCATTCTCAACTATCTGGACGATTGGCTTATTTTAGCTCAGTCCCGGGATACGCTAGTCAGCCATATAGACACGCTGCTTCGTCACTTGGAGTCCCTAGGGCTTTGTGTCAACATGTAGAAGAGCATTCTCGCCCCGAGTCAGTCTATAACATATAACATCTGGGAGTGTGCTTCGACTCGGTGGAGATGAGAGCCCCACGTCACGCATTGTGGTCACGACAGACGCATCGACTTGCGGCTGGGGAGCAGTGTGCGAGGGCATGCTGGCATCGGGGCTGTGGTCAGAACCTCAGAGCCGGTGGTACATAAACCGCTTGGAGCTGGAAGCAGTGTTCTTAGAAAGCTGGAAGCTGTGTGGCTGCTTCGGGATATCAGAGGAGCTGAGCGCCCTGCATTCCCGTGTTCTCGACACACTCTCAGAGGCGCGGGCACCCTCCACAAGGCGCTTGTATGCTCTGAAATGGGGAGTGTTTGTGAAATGGTGCCGTGATGTTCATATCAACCCGGCTGCTTGTTCCGTGTCGGATATTCTGCGTTTTCTACAGTACAGACTGGATAGTGGATCTCTACCATTAACACTGAAAGTCTATGTGGCCTCTATTGCCTCGTTTCGTTCCCCGCTGGGCGGGCAATCGATCGGTAGGCACGCGCTGGTGGTGAGTCTTCTTAAGGGAGCGAGAAGATTGCATCCCCTGCATCCGCCTTCAGTCCCACCCTGGAACCTAGAGGTGGTGTTAAGAGCTCTTTCACAGCCACCATTCGAGACTTTAGCATCCGTTGATATGAATGAGCTATCTCTCAAAAGTGTACTTCTTCTTGCCCTCGTTTCGGCTAAGCGCATAGGGGATTTACATGCGTTTTCTGTGGACAGCGACTGTATTCACTTCGGACCCGGTGACTGCAGTGTCACTCTCCGGCTGAGACCGGGCTACGTGCCTAAATCACTATCTACCCCCTTCAGAGCGCAG